TTGTAAATATACACGGTCAAACAATAGAAAATATAGATCTGATCTTATCATGGAAAGGCTTGACAAGATCTTCTCAAATGATTCCTGGATAAATATATTTCCTAAAGCCTCCGTTATTCACCTTCCTAAAACATACTCGAATCATAACCCATTTCTCCTACAATTAATTCTGAAAGTGAACAATCTATTTCCTAAACTGTTTAGACTAAAATCCTTTTGGTGTGGTCACCCGGAGTTTAGTACTATAGTCAAAAACAGTTGGTTGAATAATGACTTTACAACCGCTTCCAATATTTTTAAAGATAAGGTCTCTAATTGGAAGAATGACACCTTTCGAGATATATTCAAAAAGAAGAAAAAAAGTTACTAGCTAGTTGAACGGAATTCAAAAATTCAATGCTTATGGTTATAGTCACTTCCTACAAGAATCGGAGGACTCCCTTAAAAAGGATTTTAATAATTGCCATAGGTTGGAGTAAGATTATTGAAAACTTAATGCTAGAGTTCAATGGCTAAACGAGGGTGACTCTAGCTCAAAATTCATCCACCTAATTGCTACCAATAAAAGAAGAACTAATAAAATTGTCTCCTTAAAGGATTTAGATGGAAATTGGATTGATGATCCATCAAGAATTATGGATCATACTTACTCCTATTTTCAACAAGTGTTTACTACAAGTCATGATACCTCAAATTGGAGCTCTATCAAATATGCCCCCCTAGTCACAAATGTATTGACCTTTCATCTCTTGACAAGTCCATATCCTCCCATGAAACAAGAGATGCAATTTTCTCATTCAAACCTTTTAATTCTCCCGGCCTAGATGGTTTACACCCGTTTTTCTTTCAGAAATACTGCACATTATTAAACCTTCTGTACACAACCTTTATCTAAAGGCATTTGAATTAGGCACTCTCCCAAACGAAATCAATGATACCTACCTCTGTCTCACCAAGAATACCAAATGCTAACAACCTAAAAAAAATCGTCCTATTGGATTATGCAATACCATCTATAAAGTGATTACCAAATTGATTGCAAATAGATTAAAACCCCACTGGCTAACATTACTAGTCCTCAACAAGCTAGCTTCTTAAAGGGCACAAGGGCTAGTGATAATGCTATTATCATTCAGGAACTCATATTAAAAATGCACAAACAACTTGGGAAAAAAGCTAGCATGATTTTAAAAGTCGACCTTGAAAAAGCTTTTGATCGTTTGGAATGGTCTTTTATTTATAGAACCCTTTGTCACTTCAAATTTCCTCCTAAGATCACCAAACTAATAATGAATTGTATTACCATTAGTGGAAACTCTATTCTGGTAAATGGCAATAGAAGTAACTTCTTCAAACCTATGAGAGGTACTAGACAAGATAACCCCTTGTTACCCTATATATTCATTCTCTGTATGGATATGCTATCCGCCCAAATATCTCATAATGGAGACATTAAATGTTGGTCTCCCATTAGGATGGGAAATAATAATTGCCCTCTATCCCATCCATTTTATGCGGACGATCTTACCTTAATGTGTAACATTGATAATAACTCCCCTACTACAACCTCTCATGCCTTAATAGTTTATGCTCCTTATCGGGGCAAAAAATTAATAACACTAAATCAAAAATCATGGTTTCCAAGAACTGTCCTATTGCTACCTCCAAATATCTAGCCAAACTATTTGATATTAAAATCAGCAAAAGCTTTGGGAAATATCTGGGATTCCCAATCACCAATGCAAAACCTAGATCATCCGACTATCAATTCATCCTAGATAACATGCCTAGGCATCCATGTTGCAAAGGATAAAAACATTGTTAATCTGGCAAATCTTTTCTGAAGACTAATTCACAACACTCATTCCCCCTGGGTCAAAATCCTATCCTCCATTTACAACTCCAATACAAATCTTAAAAGCACCTCATTCATCTGAAAAAGCATTATGAAGGGTTGAAAAATTTGCAACAAAAGGTATCTATTGGATCCCCAGTAACCTTTCAAAAATGAACATATGGCAATCCAATTGGATTCCAAATTTTCCAAACTTAGGCAAACCATTGAAGGCCCAATTACAAATCAAGTCAACAACCTAACCATTAGGGACATTTGGGTTAACAACTCATGGGATCTCCAAAAAATATCCTTTTACTTACCCCAACCCATAACAAATAGCATTTTGTGTATTAGTCCAAAGATTTGTCACCAATACACCCCTACTTGGGCTCTAACGGGAGATGGAAAATTTACGTCCAAATCATGCTACAAACTTATTGCACCAAAGGATCCAAACTACCCTGATTTCAAATGGATTTGGAATCTCTATTGCCCCAATAAGATAAAGTTTTTTCTATAGAAATGTCTCCACAACAAACTTCCTACCTGTTCCTACCTCCAATACATTGGTTTTAATATAGACCCAATTTGCCCTGTCTGTAAAAGTGAAAACGAATCAATTGAGTACATATTTATTAAATGTAAAGCGGTGCATGAAATTTGGAAACTATGTGGTTTCAATTCCATCATACCTAGACATTCTCACCAATAGCTCACTAGTACTAGATACCTCAATACTCCAGTCTTATCTCCCTTTCTCTCATGGATAGATCTATTTCCCTTTATCATTTGGAATCTTTGGACTAAACGGAATAATAACAATGTTGATAACACCTCTAACAAATTCTCTTTTGGAAGTTCTATCAAGTTAGCTACTGAATATAAGCTTCTCACTCAAAAGGAGATATTGAGTGTTCACACCCATGCAGTCAACGTTGCATGGCATATACCTCACAAAGGATTTCTTAAGCTCAACATTGATGGTGCATTTGGTGATAAGAACAAGTTGACAGGATTAAGAGGAATTTTTCGTGATAGCAGCATCCATTAGATAATGGGCTTCCTACACCAATGTCCGGTCTCATCCGCACTCCAGTCAGAGTTAGAAACACTAAAGGAGGGCCTGAACATGGCCATGACCAAAGGGTTTACTCTATTAGTTATAGAAACCGACTCAACTGAGGTAATCAAAGCTCTACATCAGGGATGTGAATCTCACTACATGATAGTTTTTTCTCGCATGTGGTTAATGCACCAGTTGAAGAACCCAACAATCCATCATAACTTTAGGGATGGAAATCAAGTAGCCCACAAGCTGGCAAAGGAAGCTCTCAAAAATCCAAAGTACCATCTAATGCTAGATAGACCACCCCCTTATGTTATAAATAAGCTTGAAGCAGATAGGGTTGGCTATGTTTATTTTGTCAAGACCCTATCAACTGATGTTTGTTGTAATCTTGCCAACTTAGGCAATATTAGTATCCTCAAGTCGACTAGCTTCTATGGTGATGTAACACACAATATCCCGTAGTTATAATATATATTCCCTGTTTTGTCAACAAAAAAGAAAAAAGAATAGGAGAAGCAAAACACTACATTAAGACAAGTGTCCTAACCACAAAAAGCCAAGTGGCATTACTAAGACAAAATAAACTACTTTTCTAACTAACATTTTTTTGAATTTTAATTTTGAATTAATTGGTCACATTGCTTGAATTAATAAATATAGATATCTTATAATTATCAATAAAAAAACGAATATACAAAAAATATTCCACTCATTCAAATTGGAGTTTTAAAATTATTTTACAATAAATAAAAAACTACCAATTCAAATTGGAGAGTAATTTCTTCCTAATATAGTTGTAGTATGTGTTTGTATATATATATATATGGGAGTAGATATTATACTAAATTGGTCATTTATTAATAATTTATATATCAATTTAACAATATTAAGTAATGGATAATACAATTAGATAACCACAGAACACACACGCGCGCGCGCACACACACACACACACACACACACACACACACACACACACATATATATATATATATATATATATATATATATATATATATATATATATAAGACCTATAAAAATAATTATAATTATTACGAGAAAAGTCGTACATATACACATAACTGAAATCATAATAAACTATTAGTCATAAATGAAGAATACTAGAAAAAAATAATCAATGATGTCAATACATATACTAATTAAATTTCTCATGTAGGAAAATTTAGTTACTAAATAGAACTCATAATTTCATAATGAGAAATATAAAAATACAAAGAAACTATTAGGATATTATATATACGATAATATATCATATATAAAACACATTTTATTAATTAGTAAAAATATTAGAACATTTTTTTATAAAAATAATAAAAGGTTTATCTCTTTATACTTTTGATGAATTCAAAATTATAATTTACTAAAAAAAATTATACTATTTAAATTTCCAGTAATATATAAATTGAGAAAAATAATCAAATATTATAGTAGAAAAGAATGTAGGAAAGGAAGTGGATAAAGATTATTATACAATATTTATATTTTGAATCAATTAATAAATAAATATAAATATATAACACTCAAGAAAATTATTGATAAATTTAGACAATTGAAGAATTTTAAACAGTATAACACAAGTATAAAAATATATATTTTCGGAATACGTATGTTCTACTAGAAGAAAAGTAGTATCCAAATATTAAGCTAATTGATAAATTAATAAAAAATTACATCAATAAAAGTATAGTACTAAGTACTTGCTAATTTAATAAAGAATAAATAATTTATTTGTTTGCTATAATTCTTTGTATCCTTTGATTTTTTATAAATTTTATTATATTCATATACACTATATTAAATAAGAAAATAATACTAACTAATATTTATTAAAATAATATAATATATTAGATCATAATTTTATAATATTAATATTCTATCAAATTATCGCATCGCGCACGAGTTCCAACACTAGTTAGTTAAGAAAAGAAAAGAATTAATAGTCCGTTAAGTTTTCCTCGAGGAGGGCCGACTTTTTCTTTAAAAAAAAAAAAACTTTACTTACCTGTCCCAAATAATAGGACAATTTTTTTATTTAAGAAACTTCTATATTACGATTCCCGTTCTCCATACAATGTTTTGAAGAACAAAGAGCGGCACATTTTCCCGCTCCCTTGAAATTTCTCTCTTTAGACAACACTCAACACCACGCCCAAAATCGCCACCGTCAATCACCGCCACTGCGCTGCCTTCCGCGGCCGCAGTCATGGATTCCTCCACCGCCACTGCTCTCCTCACAGAAATTCAATCTTCCTCCAAATTCACCACCAATACCTACAATAACTTCTCCAATTACCTCCACGAATTCACCACTCTCTCCAAACCAAACAAGTCCTCAAAACCCTCAAAATCCACTGACGTTAATACTATCATCCGTTCACTTGCCAAACAGTTCCTTTCTTTCCTCAATAAAGCCCTAAGCCTTTTACCCAAACGTTTATCTGAATCGCCCAGAATTCCTGACGAATCTGCCCCTCACTTGTTCGATATTTACAGGTTATGCCTTAACTGCCTTGAGTGTATCTCTTCGCAGCTGTCGTGTAAACCCTACACCATTCAAGCCCAAAGAGTTCGTTACATTCATTGTCTGGAATCATGGGAGAAATACGAGGAAGCCGAATGTGAAGGACTCTCTGTACTTAAGGTTCTTCGCCATAACGCCATTGGTAAAACCAAGGCAGAAACAAAGAAGTCGAAATTAGGGGTGTCAACTCAGCTGCATTTGTTGCCTCAGTTGGCCGAAGAGAATGTGGATCAAGAATTTGCTCTGTTGGTTGTAGAGGTTGTTGTTACACTTGTTAAGTGTGCTTCTTTAATTCAGAATAAGGCGGTCAGTGAATATCATGGACTTCTTGATTTGGTTAAAGAAGTTGCGCCATGGTTGAAGTGAGTCACTCTTGGCCATTTATGATTGCATCTTATGTTGTTGATTAATTTCGTGAATTATTTGAACCTTATAAAAGATTATTGATAATTTTGAACCGTGCTATATTCTTTACAATGTGAGAGAATGTGTTTAACTGATTGGAGTTAAAATCTTTGGATACTTCAGGGTTTTGGATACAAATGCTCAGGATAAATTGCATCGGGTGCTTGTGACATATTTGAACAGAATAACAATGACTATGTTTGTGGACTTTACAAAATTCAGTGGGGATTTGGTGCGGGAATTTTGTAAAGAAGCCTTGTGTCAAATTAAAAATTCATCCTTAAACGATCAACTCTTCAAGGTGAATCTCTCATGTTCACATTCACCTTTTCTAGAACGTCTTTTCTGTCTAAGCTAACATGTATATGTAATCACAGTTTGCAAGGAAGATATGCTCTTCTATCTTCTCACAAGAACTTGAGGAATGCTCTGGGATTGTTGACACATTAAAATATGTGCTGGATACCATGGCTGCAGAAATGAAGGTATTATATTGCTCCTTTCATAGATTATTGATCTTGAACAACTATATTTTGTTGTTTATAGGAGCCGGTATTTATTCTTTTCATTTGCTTGATCTGCATTGTCCGATACATGGGGAGAGAATACAGTGGTATATACAAATGAATAATCTAATCGATAAAAAGATGAATAATTTATTAAGACGAGTAAGTGAGCAAGTTTACAATTTTCCATAGGACAAGGTAGGGGGACCTCATGTGTTTAATTGGCCAGTTAAAGTACATCAAACAAATTGCTGGTTCTTATTATATGGTAATTTAAGGCCGTCCAGCAATGAAACTACGAGGCTTCAGATGTTATGTGATCTGGTGAAGCTACTGATGTTGAGGTCAAATAATTTGAACTTAGGGCTGTTCTTGGTGCAAATCTGTGTTCAATGTTGCGTCTGACCAGTGAGAAGGACAATGGAGAGTTCGAAGGAACAAGAAGGAAAGAAAAGTATTTTGACTGCCACGGTGCCACCTAGAATCCTACAGAAATCCTCCCAAACCGCAAGGTAAATTTGCATAAAATTCCACATGCTTAAACCAACAAAAGCTTCAACAACAAAGATAGAAATTAACTCCTCGCCTTCTGCACTGCTAAACTTGAACCAAAGCATTCATAAGCTTGTACTTATACTTTCCCCCCCTAATATTTTAACTGATTACAGAGCTTCTACACAATTTGCTCCAAATAAAACTTGGGAAATGATAAATAAGTAGGACTCACTGACTTAGTGACCTCATTTACTGAATAATACAAAATGAACAATACACCTCTGAATATTTAACGTAATCATACCAAACAAAAAAATGAGCAGTGACTTGTCTATTTTGTATTACTCGCTCTATCTTGAATTGAATATTCATTTTTTTTTTTTACTTTTAGAAGTTACACTTCAGCATCTTTGCGTCAAAAGTTTTATACATTCTCAAACTTTTAGAATTGCATTAATTATCTTCTGATGTACCTGAACTTGGTCAAATGACAAAAAAGTTTAACATAAATACAGCTCCTAAATGTCCTAATTGTAAATTATTGGTGTCACAACATAATGTATTTTATGTTGTTTTGCCAGTGCGTTGCTGTTGCATCACACAGTTAATACTACTACTTATTTCTCAACTGAAGCTTTCTAGAAATCACTTGTTGTCTTGAGGTCACCTATGGTAATTTCATACACATCATACAAGATTTTTGCTTCTTTCTTGCTAACTTTAAGAAAATGTCTATTTTTTGTTTTATTGCCTTTCTTTTCCTAGGAGTCTTCTTATTTTGTTTCCATGGTTAAAGTAATGATTCTAAATTTTACATTTCTTTTCTATCCTTGCGACATAAAAGTGTAATGTATGCAATTTCATGACTTTGTTTAAGCTGTGCTTCTTTCTTGATAAACTTCCAGGAAATGTCTATTTTTGTTTCACTACCTTTCTTTTCTTACGAGTTGTACTTTTGTGTGAAATTTCTTTTTTATCTTTATTTCCTTGGTTAAATGATGATTCTAAATCTTATTCTTCTTTTCATTGATAAAACATCTTATCTTTCTTTTCTATTCTTGCTAAATATGCAATTTCATGACTCTATTTAAGACAATGCCCTTACAATTGTTTATGAGGATTGAAGTAATTACTTCATTTATACCTTTCTATTTAGTTAAAAATATTGATGTGTTCAAAGAATGTATTTTCATTGTTATGCTAAAGATAATCTCCTTATTTTTCCTTGAATGGTGCGATGCACTATTAATTCAATGATCTATTTCAGAACTTGTTTTTCTTTGCCTTGTCTTTCACTGTTTCTATTATTTATTTGACGATATGCTTGTCCTTACAAAAATAGTATGATTCTGTGAATGTTACCGGGCAGGTCGGAAAGGAGAGCAGAATCATAGAAATTCTGGAGCTTTTTTGTTATTGCGCCCATAAATGCCGAAGTGTTAATGCAAATGTCTGTAGTACCCTGTCTGCCCATTTGGAAGAATTAGCCATTCACTTGAAAAAACATCACATTGAGTTAGCAGGTTCTCAGGTAAGCTTTTAGCGGTTTATTTTTGTTATTTATCTCTTCAACGACTCCCATGCATTTATGGAAGACTTTGGTTAAGGAATGTCCTACTTATGACAGAATTGGTTCTTTTGAAGGATAAGCCACCCACTGATTTGATTCTGGGGCTTTATGCTACTGGACTGCTCATTAACGAGTCCAATATTCACTCCATTACCCAGGGAAATTCAAGAGCTCTTTCCTCTGATAGCAAGGACGTGCTGCAAAAACTAAGTAGTTTGCTCAACTTTTTAAAATCGTACTTTGAAATAGACAGCAAAGGAAGCAACACATCACAAAAGAGAATGCTTTATATTCTGTCTTATTTTGCTGTACTGAAGTTCCTGTGCCAACCACTTGCCGAGTATGTTATCTCAACAAGGAAAGAAATTCTTAGCGAAACAGAGGCTGTTTCCTGCAATACTTACTTAGAAATTATCCACGATGTGTTCAAGCAGTACATTAATGTCTTCCTACACCACAGGTATGTCACTAGTATATGGCAAATCTTGCTCTCCTGTGAGGTTGATTTTAACTTGTTATAAATTTTTTTCAACCTTTAAAGAACTGAATTTTTTAGCTCGATTTGGAATTACATATTCAGAAGGCATTGTTAGGTTTCTGAACTCAGTATTTAGTGTTTTTATTTTTATTTTTTATGAACAAATGCGATTTCTGTTTTTTATATAAAATTTTAGCTTCTTTGCTAAAATTGATCTAGCTATTTTCTGGTCTTTTTCATCATTAAAATTGTCTTGGTCCTTCTGTTTAATCTAGTCAATAGTTTATTTTATGTAATCTTTATGTGTTTCACCTTTTTGGATGCAGTGCCGCTGATAGCAAGCAAGATCATTGTGATGATGCTAACAAAATGTTACTTCATGTAGCAGTGGCTACTTTCACTCTTTCTCTACGAACAAAACGTGATACCAAGGTTTCTGCTGTTGTTCATGCTACTAAGTTGATTAAGATTGCTATTGATATCATGTACCACCACCATTACTATCCCATGTGACATATCATAATTATTGAATGATAGTAGCTTACTAGCTCCACTTTAACAATGGATTAAAGCTATTCTCTTTTTCTTGTTATTGCAGGAAACTGTTAGATTTATCAAGTATCTCATTCCAAGTGAACGGATTCAAGCCAGCGGACTTAAGTATCTCTTCACTTCTTTTTACAACATCGCTGTTGTATTATACAGAAATAAGCAAATGATAGAGGTATGAACATATAGAGAGATTCTCGTGACTCTTTTTACTGTTTTCACTTTCCACATGGTCGATTCATTGCTAATGAAGAAGATGCAGCTTCTTATTCACCTCCACATTCTTGATGTTTTATCAATTTGAATCAATTACCATTTGAAGGGACACTCAGATCATTGAGTATGCTAGTATTTGGGTGGGTGGTGAGAGAAGAGAGAGGCCAGTGTTATGGCATAAGAAACTTTGATCTATCCCTTATATGTGCTTAAGAAGTACCGGTTGTATTCAGAACATAAACAAAATAGTTGCATAAGGGGAAAGCATGGGTTTCGTCCTAAAAGATGTTTAAGTTAGAGGAGTGAACTTTACCCTATCTGTTATGATTCTGATGCTTTAAGTTCACTAGGAAGCTGCATAAATCAAATGATGTCTGGTCCATGGGCTAACTCAATTGCAAAAGCACTTCTGGAAATTATGAAGGGATGAAAGTAGAAAACATGTGTCGGAAAACAAAGAAATAGGAAACCAGATAGTTTATTCTTGTCTGTAGGAGAAGGGGAGAAAACATGGAATAATTTCTAATGGGTGAGAAGTTTGATACTAAGAAACAACGCAAGATTGTGTTGCCTATTGATTGGGAAGAGTTGGATGAAATTACTGCCCAGATAACTACAACAACAACAACAACAAACCCAGATTAATCCCATACGTGGGGTTTGGGGAGGGTAGTGTGTACGCAGCCTTACCCCTACCCTATAAAGGCAGAGAGGCCGTTTCCGATAACTGTTACTGAATTAAAAAAAATCACGCGTTTTCCTATCCGATTTTTGCTATATTGTTTCTTCCTTTGCAGGCTGCTAAAGCTCTGAAACTATGCTGCAAAGCATCTTGGAATCATGTGATACGTCTTTGTGAATTTTTCAAGCATGAATCAGATAAATTTCAAAATGATCTGTCAGAAGATGCTCTGATTGGTTTCATTGATGAGGCTTGCGGGAAAACTTCTTTTCTTTTGGAGGTGCTTAATCATAGTAGTGATCGTAAGATCCAAAAAGTCCTCATTGATAGCCTTAAAAGCTGGTCTGCTGCAGAGCATTTGTTCAAAAAACTGCCAAGTCCCATATCTATAGTGAAGCAGTTTGTGAAGGTAAAATCCAAAGTTTGGTTGTTTGCCTCTCTTATTTTTAATTTAATGCAATCATGAATTATATGTTGGCCTTGCTGGCATCATCTTAATGAATTTCTTTGACGTGGATCTGCTTTCAGATGGAATTGAAGGTTAACAATGTGGATATTGAGGATGGTACCACTATGTTGTATTCTTTGTTGTCACCTTCTGTAGAATCGAAACAGGCTCTTGGAATCATATTGGAGCAGGTCTAACACACACACTCTTCCTGGTTGAGTTTGTTAATACTTGTAATCCCTTTCTGCAGTTATATTTTATTTTGATGTGCTTTGTTTGCTTAACAGTAGATGCTGCTAACAACTGATACTTATACTTCATCAGGAGCTTCTGGCATATAGAGAATTGAATGCACGAAATCCAAGACTATGTCAGGAAATGTGCTTGAAAATAATAGGTCTTCTTTTACAAAAAGTGTATGCCTCCAAGGACAGCTATTTACAGAGATGTAGAGTCCTTATTGTTAAGGGAGAGGTGTTAAGAGCCAATGGATTCGAAAACCTGAAAGATTGCATTCAGTGTCTATCAGAAGGAATAGCTGTAGTGGTAAGCCATTGTTTATGTCTGCCTCTTCATATATTGAGTTACAGTAATCAGAGCTTGATTGTCTAAGTTGATGTTAATAATTATGTCAGGTTATACCTTTTGCAGGAAAGCTCTTTAAAGCAGAAAAACTGTGTAGCAAATTTAGCCTGCACGAATTCAGCTTCTCATCTGGCGGCCTATGCGTATTGTGCACGTGCACTATGTACCAATGAGATTGAACCAAACTCAAAGGTGCTACAGCGTAAAAGGCTAGTCTCCTGCATTGATAATTATGGTTTCTCTGGGGGCAAACAGTTGAGCTAATTATGTTTCATTTGGAAGGAAAAGGAGGGAGTTCTGTTATTTAAAAAAAAAATTAATTTGTGTTAGTATATCCCATATTGGTCGAGGGAATATAGGCTATTGTCTCCTTATATGGTCTTGGGCAATTCACTCCGCATGAGCTGGCTTTTGGGTTGAATTAGGCCCAAGGTTTATTTTCTTCCCATGGTATCGGAGACAAGACAGATCCATCCTATTCTTGGTTTACCTAATGTTGGGCCTATATTTTATATTGTCAATACCCTAGATGTAGCCATATGCATGGCGGGGAGCGATTAGAATGTCGCACATTGGGTTGATGGAATGGACTGTTGTCTCCTTATATGGTTTTAGGCAATCCTCATCTTATGAGCTAGTACCTTTTAAAGGTTGAGTTAGGATTATCCTTTTTCTTCACAATTTGATTGCTGTGAGAATTCGCGGGAGAAAAATCTGTTTATTAACAATGATACAATGAGCGCTATATATAATAGTTATTCTACTCCTACTACATATGGGATTTAGGACATATTCTACTCCTGCTATATATGGGACTATGACACATTCTACTCCTACTACATATAGGACAAGGACTATTTACACATAACTATCTAACACTCCCCCTCAAGCCGGTGCATACAAATCATATATACCGAGCTTGTTGCATATGTAACTAATACGAGGACCAGTGAGGGACTTGGTGAAAATATCTGTTTGATGTAATTTATATGGATAGGCTCGGAATCACTAGACGAGTAAGTTGTCCTGAAGAAGTTTCGTTAAAAAGTGGCCAAAATGGCTCACACGCGCTGGAAAGTTACTGTAGCTCGCCGGAACCCTAGTTGTGACAGCGTGTGAGGGACTTTCTGCCGGAGCGATTGACTTTTTTCGAACAAGATGGTGGTGTTGGTTTTTGCACAACACTTACCGATGAGGAGATAACGCAAATCAATCTTGAGAGTTATCAACCGGAAAGACGCACATTGACTGAATTTCTTTGTTCCGATTGGACTGAAATTTCTGGGGTTTGGTCGCAAAAGGGTTTCGGATCTGATGGTGGTATTGGTAGATGCACAGTACCACTGTAGAAGCGATGAAACCCGATGAGATATTTCTTCGCGGATGTCGCTGGAATGACGCACAACGATAATTTTCTCACTGAAGCTCTGATACCATGTGAGAATGCACGGGAGAAAAATCTATTTATTAACAATGATACAATGAGCCCTATATATAATAGTTATTCTACTCCTACTACATATGGGACTAGGGCATATTCTACTCCTGCTATATATGGGACTAGGACACATTCTATTCCTACTACATACAGGACAAAGACTATTTACACATAACTATCTAACAATTGCTTTAAAGAAGAGAAAAGAAATCTGAAAATTTAATTCTCACGTTCAACTTTATTTCGTCATACCAATGAACAAATCAGTGCATATGTTTAGTTACTTTCTTTCTCCCTGACTTGGAAAACCCTTCCCGTGTTTATTGAATACTTATCTATTGTTTTATTCCCCCCACTCTCCCTCCTTTTTGAACAGAGACTTTATGAAGATATTCATGCTGCAGCTAGACTCTGGATGAGTCTCAATCACTGCCATGCACCTGATCAGTGTAGGATGTCTGATATTATGTTGAATATGTTGCATCAGATTGTCGACTTGTTATCACTGAAGGTAATCTCTAATCTTGATGTCACTTTGTATTTGCACAAATTTTCAGTTGACAAGTTAGAAGGCCCTTGTGACATGCATTTAAATATGCATCTTAGGTCTAACCGATCATAACCTTTTGTTTTGCCCTTTAAACTTCTCTTATTTTTTTGGCCACTCTGACTGGTTCAATCTTTGATGACTCATGTGTCAGTTATGTTAAGTAAGTGATACTTGTGCACGAGAGAAAAATATATTTTGGATATCCAAGTGTTTTACAATAGCCCTATTTATATACAATGTTTACATAGAACTACACAGCTATATCCTGATCCGGGACACTATATATTTCCAACTATCTAACAATATATTTTTGGCTTAGTTTCATGTAAGGGATCCATCTTTCTAGGACCCATAAGGAGCATTTTCCATTTCGAGAAGTTGTTAAGAATCCCTTCGACCCTTCCTACAATGCAATTTTCTTGACGCTAAATGTTCCACTAACATATACCATGGAAATTTTTTTTGAGAAATAAATTGCCATTGCTTGGCTTCCTGGAAGCTTCTTCCAGTAGATTTTAATATTTTTTTTTTCAAGAACCTGGAGTTTTCTGAGAGGTACTTATTTATCACTTATTTGAATGCATAAAATTGCTTTTCTCGTTCAACAGTCCCTTTCCTATGAAAAACAATATTGTTGGTTTGAATTGCTGCCTTTCCTATGAAAAATGTGCACGAGTTTTCATTCTGATATTTGCTGAAGAGTGCTGAATCTTTGGTAATGAGATATGTCAATTTGCATGATCTCTTGTCATCTTGTTCTTCCATTTTTCAGGGCTACCTGGAAATTCATCCAGACATATATGAGATGATGATACAAATATTTAGGAAGAACATTCCATTAGAGAAGTCTGTGTCGTTACTATGGAGATATAGAAGACTTAGTCATGCTCTCTGTACTTCACCGGTGAATGATATGTTCATCAAAACATTGTCAAACCATTGTGGTGAACTTTCCAAGTCCCTCGAATATTGGATGAAGTGCATGGAAGCGTCTCAACCACAATTAATTGGGTTTCAGCAGAGCTTTCTAACCCTTGCTCTTTCTTCTAAAGTGTCTCGTAGTCATCAAAGTTTTCTCCACTGTGACATTACAGACGATAAAGTTAAGCTCACTGCTGCAGAGCTAATTCACACTGTAAGCTTATAGGATAGACACAACATGTTGCATTTATTCTGGCTGCCAGTGTGGTTACACCTATTAACTGGAGCTGCTATTTGTTCTTAGGTTCCTTTATCCAGCGGTGCAGCCTTTCTTTCTACTTATCTTTACTATGACTTGAGTGAGAGACTGATTCTAAATGGACGACTGGTTGAGGTAAAATAATGGCTATAACATTTTGCATGATTGTAGGGGCTACAACTTAAAGTTTTCTTCATCATTTGTTTGAATCAATTTCACTTTTTCATGGAATGTTAAAAACTTTAGCTAGTGGAATCCAGTATGCGTGACCTCACTTGGGGTTTTACCTTTGGCTTTTATTCTTGGGTTGACATACCCCAGCAGACCACATGGATCCATGCTCCAAAAGACTATTTGCCATCTATTACGTGAAAATTTGACCATAAAGTGGGTGGTCAGGTGTTTTTGGGGTTTTGGTTTCTAAACGTCAAATTATTCTCTAAATTTCAGCATGGCACTGATTGCTAATTGTTGAGATGCTATTTAATGTTAATTCAATGCCTGTAGGCTCTTGCTTATGCAAAAGAGGCCCATCGTTTACGAAGTAAACTTCTTCAAGAAAACTTCTTCTATCAGATAGAGGAGCAGAGTGAGGTATATGGTCTCACAGCCTTCCAGATATATGATCCTGTGGCTGCAAAGGCTTGGTTTCCTGAAAGTGTCTCGTTTGACTTTGATGGTTCTATACTTACTCCTTGGACTATCCTCCAATGTTATCTGGAAAGCATATTACAGGTCTATCATTATTGTTATAGTTGTTGTCATTATTTAATACATACACAAAAATAGTTGCTCTTTAATTTGAATTGGATGTGTTGGGAGAATCTAATTGACCATGATAGCATAAACCAATGCAACAGGTTGGAACTGTTCATGAGATGCTTGGAAATGGAACTGAGGCTAAGGCACTTCTAGTATGGGGGAAAAACATCTCATGTAATCAGAGTTTGCCCCTCTTCATAATTTCATTCTGTTGCATGTTAGGTAACATTTTTTCCCAATTTATTTACCTTTCCTTGTATATCACAATGGATGCTTGCTGTGGTTTCTGGATTTTTAACTTAGTGTCTTCTTATTGTTTATCAGGAAAACTATACACTAAACAACATCTCTGGGAATTGGCAGACAAGGAACTAAATACTGCTAAGCAAACATTGGCTGAAAACTATGATGCCATCTCTTGCCTAAAATGCAGAATTATTCTGGAGGTTTCAATTGATCTGCTAATAGGAGATCTATGGAGACTCCAACATTGTGATGCTGTAAATTCCTCTACTGTGGAATTTTTATATAGTGTTAAAGAGAAGTATAGATCTGCCTTTGAGAAGCTGAATAACTTCGGCTGGGAGGATTCTGTTGGTTGGCCCCTGGGAGCAAGTTCCCAGCACACCAAGCACCAGGCTACTTCATTTGCAAACGGTGCAAAAGATCCTTCAGGCTTGAAGGAGTTACCATCCCAGATGGGGAAGCTGGACTATGCAGTTGAAGGGAGAAGGACTAGGAAGACCAAAAAAGAGTCTGACCATAATTTAAGGATGACACGGTCTAGATCTCATGCTATGAAAAAATGTGAAAGCTCTGTGGATGATAAACATTCAAGTGGTGCTGAAAACATGAGCTGTAAGCGTCTTACTAGTATGTTTCTTTCCAGATAAGACTTAAGATAGAAACTGTTATTCACTGCTGATGTTGGTCATACATTCACAGGTATGTGCTTCAGATTGAAGTGTTGGCACCATCTTCCTCTTGAAGTTCTCCAATCTGGATCTTTGAGTAATTTCATATACTTGAAATGGGAGCTTGTGCGCAGACAACTTTCACTGAGGCTTCTAACTACTATGGGTAGTGTGAAGTTCATTCTGGATGCCACTCTGTGTATCTTTCTTGTGAACAGTCACCTTCTTTAGCTGGCTCTGGACTGGTTTCCTTTTATGCAACATATTATGCATGCTCAGAATTCATGAATATATTACTAGGAATAATTCACAGCTTTTCTCTGAATGTTAAAAGATAATGAGTAAGTTGACACATCGTTGATGTTGAGGCGTAGGAGTAACCTGAAGATCCCAGGTTCGGAGCAGGTGACAAAACTCAATGTGAGTCCACCTGCTTCAGTCTTGGTAGGAGGTTTACTTCTGCGCTTTTGCACTGTTGCAGGCTGCATCGTGGAATAGTGGTGTCAGCAAACTGGCCTGGGTACCACCAACATAAAACAATTTGTTTGTGTTTCTCAAATTTTGTGCTGTCCATGTTAAGAGCATGGATCCATATATTTTTATTTTCCAATAGTAATAAACAATGTTGTTAAAAGCAACGGAGTGACACAAAGCAATAGGTCATCCCTTCTCGTGGGTAAAGCAGAATGCTTGAAAGAATCATGTGCTTTGTGCGATGAAGCGCTGAGCAATCTGAGCAAGAAGGGTCTGATTCTTTGAATTAACATTTAAATATGAGAAAAATAAAAAAATGTACAAAATTAGAGCCTTTGCCATCTGAGTGCTAGGAATTTGTTAGTTTTCTTGTGTATTCTCTGTTTAGTTTTTATTCTCCTATTCTTTATTTATAGCTCATGTTTGGGAAAATTGAAAATGACACTTGCAATCTAAGATAAGTATGAGTACAATTCCTGAAGCAATTAATTAAGTCAATATTACACATTGATTCTTTTCAATAGTTGATTAATGCAAGCGGAAAATCAGTTTTGCTATTGGATATCTTTTCTTGGCTTGTGGAAATTGCACTTTGATAATATTTACCCTTAGTGGTTGAGATTAATGTTGTATAATGGATGTTGAAATTAGTGAAGCTAAATGCAATTTTGATTTTATTAGTACTGGATTTCTACTTCTTTGATATTCTTTATTTTGCTGTAAATTGTGTTCTTTACTTTGAAAAGGCGCAGACCCTGATTCTCGCTTAAAGCCTCAGGAGGCTTGTCCTTTTTGCGCTTTCCACTTTTAAATCTCTGGTGAAATTTTTTCAGCCTTTGATCACTTAACACTTGTGCGCATTTTATCAAAACTGTGGGCCTGTTTCAGGAGCTATCATTTATTTCTAGGATGTCTGACTGAGTGTTTAAAATTCAACAGGATATTATGTTTGTTGTAAAAATATAGCACCTACATGCGCATGTAGTATTGATAATGTTTACTTTAAGTTGGGTCATCTTTATACTATGAGAGATAATTGAATATATATTTGAAAATATTTTCTTCATATGTTCCGACAAAACCCATTCCATTTGTCCATATTCTTTGCATTGTTTGTGTGCATGCTTGAACTATTCTGTGTTGCTCTTTCATTCTTCAAACTTCATCAAAATAATGAACTCTGTGGTCCACTTGTGGGTCTATTCTTTCAAGACACAGTAGACATTTCCATGGATAAATGTTTGTGCCCGTTTAGATTTGAACGCATGAATTGCAGCTGAAAGTGCTTGATGCATGAACTAATAATCATACCTGTGTGAGTGTTCTTCTTTTTCGCACTCATTAAGTTTTCAACTTCGTTTTTTGGCCTTACCTCTTATCTTATGGCAGGAAAATGCATAGGTCTTTCTGGTGATAGCCATGAAGCGCAAAAGCTTTTTTTGCAAAGTTTGTCACTGTTCAGTGCAGATTCATCCTGTCCCAAGTACTCTTCTCTGCCACTTATGTCCTTGGTTGACCAGATGGGACAGGATATGGCGGTTGAATTGGCCGTTGATCATTCAGTTATGCTTTACCACATATGCTGTTCCATTTTGAATAGCTATTCTTGCAAGGCAACCAGGTATGCGTGCAGAAATATATGCAAGTTGTCATGTATTTTCATATCCGGAACCTCGAACAAAAGATCGTTCTTGATATCAGCTTGACTAAGAGTTTTGAAATCCACACTACTAGTGTAAATGCGATAGAAATTTTTATTCCTTGCGTCTGTCAATCTTCAGCAGCTGAAAGATTGTTAATTAGATTCTTCTTGCAAATTACTTAACTAAGGCCTGTCAGTGTTGTAAAAATTAGCACTTCTATTCTTTCGTTAAAGGCCATCCAACAAATAGTGATTTTCCAAGTAACGGCTGAACTCTAATGAATTGTTGTGTAGAGTTTTATGGTTTTATGCATTCTGGAAGACATGCTTATTATGTGGTTTTGGTGTTTCTAAAGGAAAGGAAGGGGGTTGTGGTGTATGTTTGTCATTATGTAAGCTTTAGGAATATTTAGTTTTAGAGAATCCCTAATTTGCATGAAACAACTATTATTTAGTATCATATAGAAATGGACTTGAATAGAGCTGAGTGGAATCAAAAAATTCATGTAGCTGACTCCAACAAATTTGGGATTGAGGCTAGTCGGCTTATTGACTGAATTGTTTTGCCACTACTTGGTGCATTCGGTTGGAGAGAACCTGTGAAATTCCAAGTACAATCATTTCTTCCCACTGATTATGGGATAGATTGGAGCTTCTAGCATCATATTTGTGAAGTGCAGTAGGGCCGTTTCTCTGAATAGCCTCAACAACTGTGCGTCAATCGCATACTAGTTGTGTCGGCTATTTGAATCTTCGATATCCACTCCAATTTGTTTGGGTGCACTTCATAACTATTATCAATAATTTTTCGTTTAAGATAATTTCTGCTTGTAGCTTCCTTCAGAAAATGTTGTCGGACTATTTAGGTGTTTCTTTCTGTATCTCCTGTAATTCTGTGCATCTGCCTCTTTTTAGAGTGAGAATTCTTGTTATTAAATCAAAAGAATGCACTCTTCTATTAAGACACTATTTTAGTTTTCTCCCCTTAATGATTCATGTCACTAGGTCTGCTGTAAATAGCATGACTTGTAGCTTCTAGTTACTGGTTCTCAATATTTGGAGTAACCTGCTTTCTTTTGGTGTGTTGGCATCTTTAGTTGCTCAGTAATCCTTTTTTATCTGCTCTAGTCTTATGTGCAGTTAGAAATATGACTCCAAAGGTTGTTTATATTTCCTTGGTATCCAGATTGAATATCCATCTTCTCGTTTTGAAGTTGAACCATCTCATATAATCACCAAATAGGAAAATTTCGTGGGTTCCGCTGTTACTTCTCTCAAAACTAAATCATTTTCTTAAATATCTTGTAAAGTTTCTAGAAGTAATTTTTTGAAAATCCTAACTCTTATAACAATTTTCCTGTGTCATATAAGTACATTTGATCTGAGATAGTGGTTTGCTGCATATAGCCATATAGATATATCTAATGGGAATATTTTTCAACATTCACCACATAAGTACATAAGTTTTGTAGCCATGTATTTCCCTTGCTGTGTGCGTTAGCATTCACATGGTGAATCAGTTCATAATATTATTTTGCTGTTGTCAAGTCTGATTTTTTTTTCTTATGCAGAAAAACTAGCTGTAAAGAATGCCATGTTTTTTCATGCATCAAGTTATCAAAAGTTATTTCTTGGCTGAAGCTGGCCTTCATTCTCAGTCGTGAGATTCCTTTGCTTTCTCAGAAGGTTAGAATGTTTAGTTGATTCTGTACCAGAAATTCCAGTCTTATAGCCTGTTTGGTCAAGCTTAAAAAACAGCTTATTTCGAAAAGTGCTTTTTGGAGAAGTACTTTTGGATAGAAGCAATTTGTGTTTGGCTAATCACTATAAAAAGCACTTTTGAGAAATAATTTGTGTTTGGCCAAGCTTTTCAAAAAATGCTTTTAAGTATCAAATTACGAATAAGGACATGAAGTAATTTACTTAATACTAGTTAATATTACGTAAGTAAATAAATTGTTAGATAGTTATGTATAAATAATCCTAGTTCCATATTTAGTAGGAGTAGAATATGTCCTACTCCTATATGTAGTAGGAGTAAAATATGTATTATATATAGGGCTCATTGTATCATTGGTAAAAAATAGACTTTTCTCTCGTGCATTCTCACATGGTATCAGAGCTTCACTGAAAAAATTATTGTTGTGCATCATTCCATCGACATCCGGGAAGAAAGATCTCGTCGCCGTGCAATTTCGTGGTAACTTCGTCTTGTTCCCAGGGTTCATCACTCTACAGTGGTACTGTGCATATACCAGTACCACATTCAGATCTGAAACCCTTGTATGGCTAAATCTCAGAAATACCAGTCCCATCGGAACAGAAAAGTCAGTCACCATGCGTCTTTCCGGTTGACGACTCATGATTGATTTATGTTATCTCCTCATCGGTAAGTGCTGTGCGAAAACCAACACTACCATCTTTTTCGAAAAAGTTAGGCGACAAAACCCTAGTCAATTGCTCCGGCAGAAAGTCCCTCACGCGCCTCCATGCTCTAACAGAACTAGGGTTCCGGCGAGCGCGCCTGACATACGTGCCGACGCGTGGTGCACTTTCTGGCCAGAATTTTCAAAAATTTCTTTAGGGCAATTTTTTCGTGGGGTGATTCCGAGTTCACAAGTACATTTTCCTACAGATTCCGAGAACTTTGGAATTTTCTGCCGAGCTACAGTAACTTTCCGGCGTGTGAGAGCCATTTCGGCCACTTTTTGACAAAACTTCTTCAAGACAACTTACTCGTCCAATGATTCTGAGCCTACCTGTATAAATTACATCAAAATTTGACAACTTTTATTTTTCCGGCCTGAGCAGCGTACTTTTCTCGGCGTGAACAGTAATTTCCAGAAAAGTTTTTGTTTTCTGGTGGTGTTTTAGAACCTATTTTGTAGTGTTGAATTCGTCTTAGTCTCACTATTTTCAAAATTCTCCGGTCAACTTCTTTTTATCAGCAGCCACCTGGTTTCGTTGCTCAGGGGGAGTCTAGTGGCCTTGTATGTCGCTTGCGCCAGTTACTTTATGATCTAAAACAGTCTCCTCGAGCTTGGTTTGGTAAGTTCAACACAATTATCCAGGAGTTTGGCATGATTACATAGTAAAGTCGAATGATCAGCTTGCATATATTTTCACCGAGTCGCTCATTGGTCCTCGTCTTAGTTACATATGTAACAAGCTTGGTACATATGATTTATATGCACCGGCTTGAGGGGGAGTGTTACATAGTTATGTGTAAATAATCCTAGTTCCATATGTAGTAGGAGTAGAGTATGTCCTAGTCCCATATGTAGTAGGAGTAAAACATGTATTATATATAGGGCTCATTGTGTCATTATAATAAAATAGATTTTTTTCCCGTTCATTCTCACATAAATAAACTCAAAAATATATTGTTAAAGACAATACTTAATAAATAAACTCAAAAATATATTGTTAAAGACAATAATTAAGTATTTCCATTTTATTTAAGTAAAACATGAAAATGAAATGAAAAAGTACTTTAATTCTTTCAATATGTTTTATATTTATCAAAAAATCATTCAACAAATATAAAAGCATTCAATCATTATGTATTAGAAAGCTATCCTAAAAATAAGAAGAAATACTTATACATTAATATCCCTAGTATTACGTTTAAAATAGGTAAGATTATTTTGGTATATACTATATTTTGCTAAGGGTATTTTTGGTAAGAAGAAAAGTCAGAATTAGAAGCAGAAACTTTTTTTTTTTCTGCTTCTCAAAATTGCTCCTAACCCCCCCCCC